GTCTGGAGAGAGGGAAGTCTGGGCGTCTTTGCTTAGACTGCTGCCCCCGCGACCTGGTCCCGGATAAGCGGAAGAAAATGGATGGATGGAATCTCCATCCCATGTACATAAACACACCCTACCATCCTAGCACATCCGTTTCCCCAAGTGCACCTTCTCCCATCTACTACACTATACAAGTTTATAGAATCTTTACAAAAATGTATTTACATCATTCACACAAAGCCTAGTTCCACCCATCACATTGTTTTACTGTCTCTTGTTTCACCACTAGATGACACTGAAACGAACCTTTGAATGTATGAACCCATGTTCTGTACAATTGATGAAGTGGTTCAATACTGGTTCCAGGGGCGCCACTAGCAGTTTTGGGCCCTATGAAAAAATTTGAAGTTGAGCCCTCTACCTCATCCAAAGCTAGTCTCTGTGGGCCCCCAAAGTTTGTGGGCCCTTAGAATTGTCCTAACTTCACCCCCCTAACGGCGCCCGTGACTGGTTCACTGCTTCATTTGGACATCACTAGTAAACAGATGCTCAACCTGACAGGACTTCACAGTACAGGAACAAATCTAATATCTGAACAGTCAGTGAGCTACAGGAAACAAACTAAATAACTAAAATGAACTTGGAGAACTAACCAAGAATCTTGGTGACAGGAAAAACAGGAACAGTCCAAAAGTAACCAAGGCAACTGATACAAAACCTTACAGTGGACACGTAGTACACAGAGAGACGGCTGACAGGGGGCAACAAGACATGAAGAACAGATCAGCCAGCCAGGATATATAAACAGGAGACCAGGAGGTTAATAGGCCACAGGTGGAGACAATGAATGGTGATTAGGAACTGGGGTAAAGCTGGGGCAGGAGAGGTGATACAGGACAGGAAGTCTAACCAAAATAAAAGCACAAAACAGGAAGCAAGTCCACAAACCATAAGACACTGTGCAGTTCAGTATGCTGTATTTTGAGTTTCCTTATCTTTTGTTGGCCTCTTTTAGGGCCCAGTTTTTTTTTGATATTGTTTGTATTTTTTCCAGGTGACTAAAAAGCCCATCTTAATGCTGTGCCTTGCCGTTCGGCCCCTGACACACTTCGTTGTGTGTGATTTCACCATACAGTGCAAAAACAAACAGCAAAAAACGCAAGACAACTGGCAATTTAGAGATAAGCCTCCTGTGTCATTATATATCATAAGTGAGTTGTGTTGTAATAACTTCTTTTTAAATCTAGGTAGAAGCTTTTAAATAGAATTTTTCATCTTGTGACAGCCCTAAAACAAAACCACAGTGACAAAGGCGGAAAGATTTACAGAGAGTCAAAGTCACACAGCGTGAGCTCTGCTGAAGTGTTTTCGTTCTGCTGGTAAAACACAACAGCATTAAGTGAAGGAAGGCTTTGTGACAATGATTTCAGCAGCAGAGGCCCGATTAAATACATGTATCTATCTTGTTTGAGTGCTAATGAATCCTACTTTTCTCTGGCTGACCTGACCCAGACTCCATCAAACGGAAAAACACTTGACCTCAGTGGATTACTGTAATAGCAGTTCACAGTACTTGTGGACTACAGTATAAAATAATTAATACAAATCCTGGCTCTGGTTTAGTATTGTTCATTATCATTTCCATTTTCCTCTTGCTCTCCATCTGGTTGTTGGCACAGCTAGCTGGTTGTTAGTGCAAAATAACTTTAAACAGGATGAATAAATACTCTTTAGAACGGCTCCCTGTGTTGTACATGCATTTTGCTTATTATCTGCCTGTCAGAGATACTGATCAATTGACGAGATATATCCTTGTAAAAACGTCAGATTATTTATGAGTAAACACCAAAAATGTTTTGCTGTATGCTACAACCATTAAAACATCTAGAAAAATGGTAACCATAGCAACAATAGCAAACCCAGAAGTCAAACAAATAATCAGAATTGTTGGCTGTATCGTTGGATGAAAGTAAAAGTATTATTGGACAAATGAAGTCTGTCTACCGGACTTCTTTAGTAAACAGTGATGTCCAGAGAAGCCAGAATCTGAATCACAAATGACAAGTCAGGAGTGATAATTCTGCAAAGCTGTATCAACTCTCGTTGTATTTACAATGTGTCTAAAACAAGAATAAAGAGATTTTGGAAATAAGTAAATCAATCACCATTGTTACATACAATAACTACCTTATCATGTGGCAGGTAACATAAGCCATGGCATCATATTTAAATGAGTCTTCTGGCTCTTGAATGATGGAAGGAACCCACTGAGCTCAAGCCGTTACATAGCTTTACTGTCAGCACTCACAGAAGACAGTGATAGTTGAAGAGTTCTCCATGTGTAGGACTCAGACTTCCTATCAAAATTCATCATGTGAGTGGGCATAGAGTTCTTCACTCATACAAAGTCATTTGGAAGACATGGTCAGATACAAAAAAGATTTAAGAGTAAAAATGTAGGAACAAACCTTTATTGTGGCTGACATTTTACCATAGAACAAGCTATTATTGAACTCTAGATGCAATCTATTTGAAGCATTTTAACATGTGGAGCATATGTACTGTATTGTCTGGTTTGCTCCTTCTTCTGTAGAGGAGGCCTTCACAGGTTGAAATGTCAGTAAGAGTGGGGCATATGAGTTTTTCTCACTGGTCTGTTTCACTTTGCACCCTGATAAAAAAATTATTTTTCATGGTTTCACAAACACAATAAGAGGATTTTTCTCTCTGTGTATGTCTGTGTGTGAGTGTCAGACCACCAAAAACAGCGCAGCTGCGCAAGTCCCTCATTTCAGTGGTGGTAACTCATTCAAATGTGATCAGTACTGTGGACACATCTGCACACACTCAGTCTAATTAGAGCAGGAGAAAGAGCTGAGCAGCAACTGGCAATCAAGTTACTAAAAGTCCTTATCAGCCTCAGTTTTCAGTATTTGCATGGTGGTCACACCTGAATGCTAAGGGGAATAATAAATCAAACCATTGACACTGCCTAACTAATCTGTGTGAATTTATGCTGAGAACTGCCCTTCAGGACATGCAGCCAGTGCATCCTGCATCTGACATTGGTAATCTGCCTATTGCCTGGATGTGATACGAGGGCCTGTGACTGGGACGTCACCATTTTAATTCATTGGTACAGCAAGAAGAGAGTTCTCTCTCGTCTACAAAATAGCAGTGAAATGTCCCTGAGGCAAAGTGTACACACGAAGCACAAAGTTAATAGCAGACAACCTGCACACTGTGATAGAAAGGTTACAAATTGACAATGCCTACATATAACACATCAAATTAAAAACTTTGTTGATGTGCTCAGCCTGGCACTTCATCCCTGCTCAGAGGCCACCAGAAAAAGGCAGGGCAGGCAGCTTCTTGGATGATGGTACAAAGAGTAAGTGTTATTTTATCAAATATAACCATACAGTACAAATTTGAGACATCTGGTGCTGGGTTACAGTCCCTGTTGCCAAGTACATCTCAAATGTGAGCAAGGCTGGAGCAAGCTTTAATATATGCGCATCCGTTGTTATGTGAAATTGTTGTGCCATGGGATGCCTCTCACTCTCTCTCTTTACAAAAGAGCAGCCCACACCAGAGACCCAGCAACAGTACAGCGGATCCAGCGATTTACTAGTTCCTCCCGTGACCCGTGCAGTCCAAACCTCTGCTTTCTTTAAACCCCACTCTCCACCCCACCCCGCACCGGGCGCAATGTCTCCACGCACCTGGATGGATTTCATAACATGAATTTGTTCGACTTGTTCCTTTTACGCACCATCTTAGCGCGTCCTTTGGTGGGAACGAGATGTCCTGGATGTATTTGCTCCAGAGATTGTAGTAGAAGGACGCACAGCCCGCTGTAACCATGTGGAGGGCGGACACGAGCCGTGGTGGGAGCACCGGAGGCAAAAGGCGATTGTAATATGGAAGCTTTGTTTGGCTTTCTTGGAGAAGAAGCTCCTTCAAAGAGGAAGCAAAGAGCGAAGAGATGGTAGAGAAGTAAGTACTGGCTGAAATTCAACCCTAGAATGATAAAAGATTACAACTACTCTGCACGACATTCTCCTCCAGAGAGTGATGCTATGAGGAAAACTCTACATAAATGCTAATTACTTTATTAACTGAATTTCTAAGGATACTTGAGCGAATTGTGACATCCTTTCCGTCTCTTGTACATAATTATTGTTATTTTAACGTGTCTATGATGCTTTATCTGTAACTTTTATCTTAAATGGGTGATATTATTTGTGTTCCTGTGAGATTTGATTCTTATTGAAACCCCCATTTAAAGGACAGAAATAACGGAAATACTCGCCATAGTTTCTACTAACAGTGTGGTAGTAAAACCCTTAAAACCCTTTCGACTCTAAGGGGTTATTTAGATGGTTTCAGCTTTGTTCAACGTGTAAGCCTCTCCATAAGTTGTTTTCAGTAAAATACTGGCTATCAGGATTTCATGGGGTGGTTATGTAATTTCACTGCGTTTGGGAAAAAGGGTTGTGATAAAACAAACGTTTGAATTTTTAATGAGCATCCATTCAATCGCTGTATTTTTATTGTGGAACTCAACATACTGTAGATAGATAGATAGATAGATAGATAGATAGATAGATAGATAGATAGATAGATAGATAGATAGATAGAGAGATAGAGAGATAGATAGATATTAATCACTTCCATCCTCACAGTGGCTGCACCTGACCTTCTTGACCCAACGTCTGCTGTCAACAATTCCAAACCTCGCCTGTCCTTCTCCACCAAACCAGTGGTGCTGAACAGTCCAGAGGATGAGTGTGACACACGGATGACCGTCATGAGGTGGAAAACTGTGTCAGCCATCTTCTTCCTGGTGGTGCTTTACCTCATTATCGGGGCAACAGTGTTCAGAGCACTAGAGCAACCTCATGAGAGTTCCCAGATACTGGCCATTCTTGCACAAAAGCTGGATTTCTTGGCCATGCACGCCTGTGTAAACTCCTCAGATCTGGAGGATCTGGTCAAGGTAGGAAGTAGCATAAATAATTCAGATTTGTTCTCTTCTGCAAGTCCTGGTGAGGACTGACAAAATGTATTAAAATACTCCACACTTACTGATTTGCTATGTTAAGGCCATATTCTGCTTGGGCCTTGTGCACACAGTAACTGTGAGTAACTGCCAGAGATGTAACCTGAGGCTATTATTTCAGCCAAACAACCAAAAACTAGTTTGTTTACACATTTATTCTGTGGAGGTTGTTTTACAGTACAGTATATCAACAAATTACCATGGTCTACATCTAATATTCTATTGGATTAGCAGATATTATACTTCAGCACAGTAAACATTGTTTTTTTAGTGCATGAACAATTGGTTATTATTGTAATCATGAAGGCAAAGTTCCTCCAACCTTGACAGAGTACTGTTAAGACTGTGATTTTTCTCTAAACCAGAAATCGTTTATGGTTTAGCTGTGATACGTTTTTGAAAAATGCACTGTGCAGTTGTTTTGTCTTTTGTATTATACGACCCCAACATAATATTTTAAATCCCTCTCAGGTCTCAGTAAAGCCAAAAGTTAATTGAGGGCGTACTGTCCTCTGTTCTCACATATGTCTTTTTTAGCCAACTGAACTTTTGTTTTCAGGCAACGTAT